TCTTTCCCTGTCCTAGCTGCATTGCTGTGGCCTGAATAACTACACAGACCTCACGGGCTCCCCTTGGCTTGAGAAATACAAAACTTATCCTGTGCCCTGCTGTGCTGGGCAACAACCATGCACTGAAGGCACTGCTGAACTAAGGAATGTCTCGGTATGAATGCACAAGTGGCACTTACTATCTAGCTGAGCTTGTTCAGGGTGTACTTTGGTATGGGGAGTGGGGATCATGCCTCCCCACCTGGTTCCAGGATGAGCTCTGCCTCTTCAGGGCTTTCCCCCCTGCCAAATGTTATGCTTTGATCTGAGAAGTGGCTGAGATGAGATGTTCTGTGAAGCCCCAGACCCTCTCCCTGCCCAGGAGGGGCTGGGCTGGGGTACCTGATGAGGAGGGGGATCCCCTGAGTGTGTGATGTGTTTCTAGGGGAATATAACCTGGTGGTGTGGGGGGGGACTGCTGCCCCTTGCTCGTCCTCACCTCCTTGGTTGCCTCCTGCAGGGCTGTTTTGAGCAGATCCTGACTGGGATCAAGAAGAATGCAGGTGTGGTGGGTGGTGTGGCAGCTGGCATTGCCGCCTTAGAGGTGAGTGCCCAAGTGTTGCTGCTTTATCTCCTTCTTGCATCTTGGGACAAGCAGCTGGGCTAGGGCTGGCCTGGGTGGCTTATGGTCTAGAGGGTGCTGGAGAGGCCCTATGGACTGCCACTGGGCCCATGGTGACTACCAAGCACACCTGGCTCCTCCTCCTTGGAGGTGCTGGGGAAGACACTGGGCTGTGACCTGAACCTAGTTCTGTCCCATCTCTGCCATACAAATAGAAGTCGCTTCAGTCCCCTGCAAGGGGGGCTTTCAAGCAAGAGGGAGGAAGCAGTGAGGGCTGGGTGCCAGTGCCCTGGACCAAAGCTCGAGCGAGGGCTTAGGCTGAGCCTCAGCCCATGCAGACTGGGGCAGCGGGGAAGGTGAGGAGGGAAGCTGACTAGCCTCTTGCTGCCTGCAGATCGCATCGATGACGGTTGCCATGTACCTGTACTGCCGCCTGGACGAGAAGTGACCCCACGAGGGAGACCTGCCTGCTGGGATGTGCCAGCAGCATGTGGTGCTCTCTGGGGGGCCCGACAGCTCCTGGGGCTTGCTGCTGTCCTGCACACTGTGATTTATAGCTGTGTTTTGATCTACTGAGCTGGGATCTGTAGAGTTCATATGTATATTTTTGTACTGATATGGCACAATGAGCTTCTTTGTTTGTTTGTTTTTGAAGTGGATTAAGTAGCTTCATGGGTTTGGCTGATGTCAGTGGGAGATAACATGGCAGAGGTAAAGATCAGGGCTGCTGATGGCACTGATGCTCAGTGATTCCCAGTGTGCAGGTCCTCTCCCACAGCCCTGTTCCCCCAGCCCCAGGGGCAGGGACCTGCTGGTGCTGGACTGCTGGACCATGATCCTGAGCCCTGCAACAAGCCCTGCTGCTGGAGCCAGTCCTGATGCTGGTCAGCTGTAGGTGATAATGTGCCCTCAACCAGGGCTGGCATGACCCCATGTCACCACATGGTCCCCTGAAAGGGGCTGGGGCTGGTACCTGCTCCCTGCCCTGGCATGATGTACAAGCCTGCAGGTCCCTGCTCCCACAGACTGTGATGTGGCCCAGACAGCCCTGTACTGCACTGTGATTTCATGGCAGAAACCCTCTGGCCCTGGTAGACCACTTCCATACTGTAAAGAGGAGGGGGGGGAATCGTTCATCTTGAATATAAATTATTTTCTGGAGCTGATTTCTTGTACTTTCTGATTGCTTTCAATAAATACCTCTAACCACAACCTCTGCCTATGTGCTGGCTGCAGAGGAGCTGATCTGCGGGCTGCCTTGCCTGCCCGTGCGGCTGGGCTGAGAGCAGGGGAAACCACCCACACAGGACCTGTTTCACCTCTGCTGTGGTGCAGTAGACCATTTGGGGGTGATGGGCTTAGCACTTGCCTCCTGGAGCCTGGAAGGGAGCAGGAGTGCTGCTGTGTTTGCACAACAGCTGGGGCTGGGTGTGGATGCACGTGCAGTCCCACATTTTGGCTTGTGAACGTGCCCTTGGTGGCACAGGGAGGGCTGGGCTTGCCCAGCAACACGGTTTGGTGCTGCTGAGCACAGGCTTATCTCAAAAGCAGGGACTTGATCTGTGTTGGCTTTCACTGGAGCCTATACTTGTAGCAGGGCACGTGTGTCCATCCCAACACCTTCCTGCAACAGCCCTGAACCCCCAAAATAGGATGCTGGGGACCAGGTAGGGCGTGAGCAGCTCATGCTGGCCCCCCTCCTAGCCTGGCCTCATCCCTCTCCCCCCCCCCGCCCCTTACTGCCTGTCTCGTGCTGCCCTGTCGTTGGGCCCGG